TCAATTATTATAAATGTCTCACTTTGATGGGGGATGCTGATAATGGAGGAGGTTCTTCATGTGTAGGGATGGGGGTGTATTGGAAATCTATATACAGTCTTCTCAATTTTTCTGTGAACATAAAACTTCTCTAAAAAACAAAGTTCTTTAAAAAATGGTTTAAATGGCAAACTTTATGTTATACATATATATAAAATGACAATAAAATAATTAGTTAACTACAAAAGGAAGTGCTATGAACAGATTTATATTCATAGATGTGACAATGTAAAAAAATTGACCAATTTTTCACAAACCACAAACTACTAAATCTTTCATAAAGATGAAATAGGTGACATAAATAGCACTATACCTATTTAAAATGCAATTCATTATGTGAAATCTTCCAAAAAAGAAATATTCAGGCCCAGATGGTTTCACTGAAGAATCCTACCAAACATTTAAAGACTTAACACCATCATTGAAGACTTAAATGTAAGACTCAAAACCATAAAACTCCTAGAATAAAACATAGGCAGTGAACTCTCTGACATTGCTCTTAGTAATATTGCTCTTAGTAATATTTCTTTCTGATATGTTGCCTTGAACAAGGGAAATAAAAGAAAAAAATAACAAATGGGACTATATCAAACTAAAAAGTATTTGCACAGCAAAGGAAACCATCAACAAAATGGAAAGACAACCTACTGAATGGGAGAAGCTATTCACCAAAGATAAATCTGATAAGGGGTTAATATCCAAACTTTATAAAGAACCCATGCAACTTAACACCAAACAAACAAACAATACAATTAAAAAATGAACAGAGGACCTGAATTGACATTTTTTCAAAGAAGACATGTACATGGCCAATAGATATATGAAAACATGCTCAATGTCACTAATAATCAGAGAAATGCAAATTAAAACCACAATGAGATGTCACCTCATATATGTCAGAATGGCCATCATCAATAAATCAACAAACAACAAGTGTTGGTGAGGATGTGGAGAAAAGGGAACCTGTGTGCACTGTTGGTGGGATTGCAAATTGGTGCAGCCACTATGGAAAACAATATGGAGGTCTCTAAAACATTTAAAAATAAACCTACCTTATGACCCAGCAATTCCACTTCTGGGTATTTATTGAAGAAATGTAAAACACTAATTCAAAAAGATATATGCACCCCTATGTTCATTACAGCATTATTTACAATAGCCAAGATATGGAAGCAACCTAAGTGCCCATCTATAGACAACTGGATAAAGAAGATGTGGTACATATATATAATGGATTATTATTTGGCTATAAAAAAGAATGAAATCTAAACATTTGTGACAACATAGATGGACCTAGAACGTATTATGCTAAGTGAAATAAGTCAAACAGAGGACAAATACCATGTGATCTCAATTATATGTGAAATCTAAAGAACAAAATAAACAAAACAGAAACAGACTCATAGGTGCAGGAAACAAGCTGATGGTTGACAGATGAGAAGGGGGTGGAGGGGCAGCGTGAAAAAAGTGAAGGGATTAAGAAGTACAAATTGGTAGTTACAAAATAGTCATGGGGATATAAAGTATAACAAAGGGAAGATAGTCAATAATATGGTAATAACTATTCATAGTGCTAGGTGGATACTAGACTAGTTAGGGGGATCACTTCGTAAATTATATAAATGTCTAACCACTATGCTGTACACCTGAAATTAATATAAAATAATATTGAATGTCAACTATAATTGAAAAATAAAAAGGAGGTAAGGTGAAAGGGAATAAGAGGTTCAAATTTCCAGGTATAATACAAATAAGTCTTGGGGATGTAATGTACAGCATAGCGAATATACTCAATAATATTGTGATAGTAGTATATGGTGTCAGATGATTGCTGGACTTATCATGGTGATCACTTCTTTAGGTATATAAATGTTGACTAACTATGCTGTATACCTGAAACTAATATAATATTGTATGTTATCTATATTTTAATAAAATAGTTAATAGAACTAACACAAACCTTAGGAATTTACACAATTTTTTCCATAAATAGAAGAGAGAATACTTCACAACTCATTTTATGAGGTCAGTATTACCCTGATACCAAAACCAAAGACAGAAGAAAAAAAGAAATCTACAAACCAATATTTCTCTGTAAGTTAAATGCAAAATTTCTAACCATAATATTAGCAAACCTAATCTCACAATGCATAAAAATAATTATGTACCATTACCAAGTGAAGTTTATTCCAAGGATGAAAGGCTGCTTCAACATTTGAAAATCAATGAACATAATCCACCATATGAACATATTAAAGAAGGGAAATAATATGCCCATGTCAATTGATGCAGTAAAAGCCTTGAACAAAATGCAACATCCATTTCTGATATACATTCTCAAGCGAACTATGAATAGAAGGGAACTTCATGAATGAAGAAAGGGCACCTATGGAAAAATCTACAGGTAGCGTCATGACTAATGGTGAAAGAAAGACTAAATGCTTTTCCCCAAGACTAAGAAAAGGCAAAGTGTCCACTCTTGTTCAACATAGTTCTGGAAGTTCTAGCCACTGCAATAAGACAAGGAAAGGAAATAAGGCATACAGATTGGAAAGGAAGAGATAAGGCAGTCCCTATTTGCATATGACATGACTGACTACATAGAAAATACCAATAAATTTACAAGAAACAAAAATACTCCTGGAACTAGTAAGTTTAGCACTGAGGCAGGATATAAGATCAACATACAAAAAATCACATTTCTACATACTAACAATGAACACATGGAAACTTAAAAAAACAACAACACCATTTACAATTGCTGCAAAGAAAATGAAATTCTTAGGTATACACGTAACAAAATATGTACATGATTCATATGCTGAAAACTTCAAAATGCTGATGAAAGAAACTAAGGACTTCAGTAAATGTAAAAACATACTATATGCATGGGTTGGAAGACTCAACACAGTAAAGCAGTCAATTCTCTATAATTTTGATATACAGTATAGATTAAATACAGTTCCTACCCAAATCTCAGCAAGACTTTTTGTAGATGTAGACAAGTTTATTCTAAAATGTATATAGAAAGGCATAGTTCTTAGTACAGCTAAAACAATCTTGACATGGAAGAGTAAAGTGGGCATAATCACTACCCAATAATAAGACCTATAATATAAGTATAGTGATAAAGACCTGTACACAGATATTCATAGAAACTTTATTCTTAATAACCAAATACTACATACAACCCAGATATTCTTTACCAGGTCAATGTTTAAACAAATTATAGTACATACCTACCATAGAATCCTACTCAGTAACAAAAACACAGTTAACATACACAACAATTTGGATGAATCTCAAGGGCATGCTGGATGAAAAAAACTAATTCCAAAGGTATCATTTCATTTATATAATTTTGAAATGGCAAAATTATAGAAATGGAGAACAGATTAGAGTTTGTCAGGGGTTGGGGACCAAGGGTAGAGGAGTGGGAAGGAAGTAGATTTGGCTATAAAAAGGCAACATGAGGTATCCTTATTGTGATAGAACTATTCTGTATATTGTTTGTGGTGGTGTACTCAAGAATCTGCATATGTGATAAAGTTGTATAGAAATAAAATACACAAATGACTACAAGTAAACCTTGGGGAATCTGAGATAGGAGCATTGTATCAATATCAATATCCTATTTGTGATATTGTACTATAGTCTTGCAAAATGTTACCATTGGGGAAAATGGTAAAGTGTACAGGGGATCTCTGTATTATTTTTTACAAGTGTATGTGACTATACAATTATATCAATAAAATTGCTATTAAAAACCTACTAATCGTTTTCTTTCAAGAATCATGCTGTACTCTGTCGTCTTTAACATAATAGCTTATTTATTGGCTGCTAGTCAGGTTTGCATGAGGCTTCAGATAATGAACAGCTATAGATAGGCCTTTGGCTCAAACTAAGCTGAGGCAGATAGGCTTTTTGTTGTTTTTTGATGTTTCTGATCTTCAGCATCACTGATCTGGGATGGTGACATTTTCTGAAGGAGTCATCTGACCTCCTGTGGACTCCCTGGTGCTGTCAGTATGTAGGCAGGGTGCATGAGCACTTTATGTGTGTGGGCGACAAGACTGGGGAAGGGGCTGAATAGATACCAGCTTGAAATAAATAGTTGAAGGAGCTGGACTGTTTTCTCTGAGATAAGGTGATACGAAGGATGGAATACCTGTGTTCAGACCCCTAAAGGGCTGTTTTGGGGTATAGAAAGTGACTGGGTTTTCTGAGGTCCTAAGGGTGAAGGAAGATATGATAAGATAGGATCAGCAGTTAACCTTAGGGGTGCTTTGTAGATGCAAATATAGGCTTAGGAGAAAAAAGGACTGAGCAGCCCAATAATGAGATGTGCTGCTTCTGGATGTAGAATGCCATATTATTGGAAGCATTTAAGCATAAATCATTGAACATCTCTCAGAACTGTGGAAATTCCTTTTCTTTTTAAAATTACATTTATTGGGGTGACGATTGTTAGTAAAATTACATAGGTTTCAGGCCGGCTGAGTGGCGCGATGGTTAAGAACTGGCTTGAGAGGCCAGAGGGCCCCGGTTCGAATCCCACATATGAGGGCCAGTCTCTACTTCCCACTGTCCTCCTCACTCTTGGGAGGGGAGGGTGATGTGTTGATGGACCTTCAAAAAAGGAAAAGAAAATCCAGAGAGGATAAGTTAAGGAGAGAAAAATAGAGGCCCCTGAATAGAGGAAGGTGTGGCTCAGGGGTCTAATGGTGTAGCCCATTTGAATGATGGGGAGAAGTACACTGGGACTCACTAGGAGCCTGAGCCCTGGCCTCACCAGGCACCTGTCTATCTGTCAGTCAGTCCTTCCAGGACTTCCCCATGCATGGCCCCCCTCTTCTGACTGGGATCACTCCCAGAATGGCACTAGTAAGATAACACGGCCCTGAGAATGTGGGGAGGAGAGTAGCCTAAAATTAGCCCCTTGGACCTAGTCAGCCCAGGAACCAACGCCTAGCCTTTAGGAGGTATTTGTTAACAGTGGGAACTGAGAGTCCAGCCTGCTCTGGCCTTGGGGCAGGAGGGGCTCCCCAAGGAGGGGCCACCAAGGCCCAGTGCTTCACAGAGGGGCAGAGGCAGCGGCGACCATAGGCAGCGTGGCCTCAGGTGGAAGCCTGGTGAGTGCCTGAAGGCTAGGACCCCACAACACTGCCAGGGAGGAGTGAACCCTTAGGCCTGCAGGCCCATGGATCTGTGGCTAACACCCTTTGTAGGTTATTCCCACTGAGTCTGGTTCCTGGGGGCACTTGGGAGGTTTGTAGGGAAATCTGTCCGCAGAAGGAAAGAGGGATATGATGGGGGCTTCCTGCTGTGTCTATCCCAAGAGGATGTGTCTGCCTAGGCTTTGGGGTCCAAATGGACATGGTTTTTGAGGGAAATTGCCCTTATACAATACAGGGAGTATAAAGGTTTGTCTTTGTGACCTTGTGTGGTATTTGTGAATCTGTAGGGGGTGGTGCAGCAGGGTGGGCTCAAGGGCAGAAGGGTAGATAGAGCTCCTCAGGGTGGGGGGAGGAAAGTGAGGCTTAAAAATAGTTTACTAATGCCTGGAGGACTGTTCCAGAGCCCACGGAAACCAGCCACTCTCCTGTAAGAGCTCTTAACCTGGATTCATAGACCCTCAAGAGGGACTTAGATAGAATTCAAAGGGTCCAAAAACATAGATGGTGCAAACAATCACCTTTTATCCCCATAACCTCTAACTAGAAATTTACTATTTCCTTCAAGGATGAATACAGGCAGCAAATGGCAGTTCTATTACTAGTTCCTGTAACTTGGTCACCAGAAGAAATGACAGACATTTCTTATCATATTACAGTCATGGCAGAGATCTGGAATTGTCATTAATGCTCATCATCACATAAAAATTATTAGTAGATCTTGTTATTTAATGTGTTAATAAGGAACATGTATCATGCAGTTTTAAAAATATTTGGATAGTTGTATTTCAATATAATTTGTTTCCTTTAATGTATTTTATGTATTAAAATAATTCTGAGAGATGACCAGATATTTAACCAGATTGCCACAGAGGCCACTCTCTCTCTCTCTTCTCTCTCTCTCTCTCTCTCTCTCTCTCTGTCACACACACACACACACATGTTTAAAACCCCTTCACTTTGGGGATGAGGAAGGGGATCTTTGCATGGAATTGTCACATAATAACTCTTTGATTAATAAACCACAACAAGGTGAGGTTAGACAGAGTACTTAGATTTGGTTATCCTACCTACTAAGGCTCAATCCACATAAGTGCCCAAGCTAGCTGGGGTCCCTGGCTTGATTTCCCTCTGGAGGTTCATTAGATGGGCCCTCCTGTGGGCTTATGGTATGACCTTGGTGAGAGCTTCAACATTTTCTTCCACACTCCCTGCCTTCTTCATCTTCCTGGACACAACTCCCCAAAATAAAATAGTAAGAAGGGAATTTTTGCTGGCTGCCAGAAGAAATTATTTGTAAAGAAACCTTCCATGACTGAAGTCCCTGGAATTCAGCATGGCCCTCAAAGCTGAGGATTCTGGGAGCTGCAGTGTGACTCTGCTTGAGGCAAGGGGGAGGGTCATGGTTCATTTTTCAGGTTGCAATACAAAAACAGGATGGGGAGTAGGGAAACATGGATTCTATTTCTGGCTCTGTCATTGCCTTGATGTAAGGGAGCTGGCAAATCCCTTACTCTCTTAGGCCTCAGTTTCCTCCAGCCACAAAATGGGAACAATACAGCATTACCTCTCAAAAACACAATATTGTAGGTGTGTTCTGGGTTCCTGCTAATGAAACAACTGACAATATCAGCTATGTGACCTTAGGAAACATTCCCTGCTCTCCTCTGAGCTTTGGTTTTCCCATCTCTAAATTGAAGAAATTAAGTTAAATTATTTATTAGGTGCATTCCAGCATTGAGGTTATAGGACTTTAAGTAGGGAGCAATAGTTGTATAAGACCTAAGTGAAAATTACTTGATACTCCTTCCTTCAAGAGATGAAACCTAATCCCCCTCCCCATGAGTGTGGGCTGGACATAGTGACTTACCTCTAACAAATAGAATAAAGTTGAGTTAATGTTATGTGACTTCTGAGACTAGATAATAAAAGGCACTGCAGCTTTCTTTTTGTTTGCTCTCTCTGGGGATCACTTGCTTTGGGACAAGCCAGATGCCATGTCATGAGGATACTCAAGTAGCCTATGGAGAGGCCCATATGGTAGGAAATGGAGGCTTATTGCCAGAAGCTAGTGAGGACCTGAGGCCTTCTGCTAACAGCCATGTGAGTGAGCCACTGTGGAGGCAGATGAATTTGCCAGCTGCAGTCAAGCCTTCAGGTGACTGTAGCCCCTGCCAACAACCTGAATGCCACCACCTGAGACACCCTGAACCAGAACTACCCAGTTAAGTTGCTCCTGAATCTCTGACCCACAGAAACTGTGAGATAATAAATGTCTGTTGTTTTAAGTAAAATAACAACAACAACTAAGTGATAATGATCATCACAGTAACAATGGTTACTGAGTACTACATTCAGGTGCTATTCTAAATACTTAATATGCATTTACCCATTTAATCCTGACAGTAACCCTATGAGGCGGGTACTACTATCATCCTCTCTATACAGATGAAGAAATGAGCACAGAGAGATTAAGTGATCTGCCAGCCCTAGGTCACACAGCTAAATGGTGGACCTGAGATTGAAGCAGAATGCCCATCCATGTTTTACCACTACCCTATATGGCCTCTTAATCTGCAGCAGGAGCAAAACAGACCCATATAGAAGGAGTTACAATACGGTGTGATGACTTCTATAGTGCTATAAGAGCGCAAACTCTGCAGGAACTAATCCATCAAAGAAACTGCATGTGACAGAAGAAAGCATGATATATACACGGAGAGCCATCATTTCTCTTCTCTTATCATTGGATCTTGGGGTCTAAATAGAGTATTAGTAGGATGTAAGGCTGGAGATGCTGGCCAAGATTTGCTCATGAAGGACCTCTGAGCCAGGATAAGACATCTGGGCTATACTCTGAAAGAAAGGGAAGCCATTAAGGGGTTTAAAACAGGGGATTGGCACCGACAAGATTTGTATTTTTAAATGATCCCTTTAGCCAAAATGTGGAGAAAATATTGAAAAGGAAAACTAGCTAGGAGATGATTATAACAGTTGAGGCAAAAGATGATGGGAGCCTAGATAAAGCACTGGCAATGGGGTATGGGCCTAAGGGGGGCGGGTTTTGCCTATACAGATATCTCTAAAAAGTGAAATCCACAGGATTTGATGACCAATTGGATGGGAGTGGACGAAGAGATAAGAAGAATGAGGTGGGTCTTGGGCTTTTGTTTTGATTGACCAGGTGGGTGGTGAGGAACTAAGATATGGATCAAGTTTTGTGATAGTGGTGATGGTAGTGGTAGTATGATACTGCTGACTTTGAAGTGCCTGAAGAAACTCAGTGAATATATACTTTCTGCTGAAGAGAGAGCTTGGGGGCTTGGAGTGATAGGCTTGAAATCATCAAAATAAAAGTGAGAGCTACAGCTCTGAGACTGGAGAGAAGGGGATCAAAGAGAGAACAAGGGGGAACAAAACTATTTCAGATGAGAATAGAGGTGAGAAAAATCAGGAGAGTGTGCTGGTCAGAAAGCCAAGGGAGGACCATGTAGGAGGAAGTGGTCGTTGGGGAGAGATATCCCAGACAAGTTTGAGGAGGAAAGATCTGAGAAGCAGCCTGTTGATTTAACCACAAGGGTGGCTTTTTAAAAGACTATCTCAGTGTGTGATTGAGGGTGGGTGGAGTCAGACTGAAGATGGTAGAGAAGTGAATGAGAGATGTGAAAGTAGACAGTAGACTACTTTTTAGATGTGTTTGATGAAGAAGAGAGAGATGAAGAGGAAGGTAGCTAGAATGGGACAAAGGACCATAGAAGTGTTTTGTTTTGTTTCTTAAGATGGTTAAGGAGGAGCCAATGAGGAGGTTGAAGGTACAGAGAGAGGAAGCTCACCTTAAAGATCTAAATATATAGTAGTTCTCTCCCTCTTAACAGACCCATGAGGCAGGGACTATCATTTCTGTCTTGTAGATGAGGAAACTGAGTCCCAAAGAATGGAAGAGTCTTGCCCAAGTTTACTCAGCTAGGAACTGGGGTTGCTAAGTTGCTAACTTAGGTCTGCCTGATTTCTAAAATCCTCTTCTTTAGTTGCACTCAAAAGTGAATAAATAATAAGAATATATATGGAATTGATGTTTGTGGGTGGGGAGAGGTCTAAAGTTGAGGGAGACCCCACCCACCTCACAATTTTTTTCTATAAGGTGTGTACCTGAGGTCCCAGGATAACAAAGAGGGGTGGAGGTGGACAGTGAATAAAAGAAGGTGTTCTGGCTCTGCCAATGACTGCTTTGTGGCCTTGAATATGCCCTCTCTAGGCCTCAGTATGTCCCCATTGGTACCATGTATTGAGAGGAGGGTGGGGGACATTTCTTAGAGGGGAGAGAACATTTAGGGCTGCAGTAGCCAGAGCAGAGAGAACGCAGCCTTGGATGGGAGAAGTACCCTGAGAATTGCCCCGAGACCATTGCTGCAGGGTATGGGAGAGTAGAGACTCTGGAACTCTGAAAAACCTACCAGCTTACCTTGATGATGACATTACATATTGAGGTGGATGATTTTGACTGTGCTGCACTAGAAACAGGACTGTTAAGGTCAAGGTTAGGTCCAGTCAGTCACTGGGTCATGGGTGATTTCATAGGGTCTGGGGATAATGGAGAGAGATGAGTTGAGGGTTGAGACAAGGCTGGGTGGGGTAAAGAAGATGGGACAAGACTTGATCCAGAAGGACGGGGAAGCCATGGGATCCAAGGAGGCGTTGGCAATCACAGAGGCTCCTGGATTGAAGTGGTCAGGAACCAGTTGTCACCAAAAAAGAAGACTTGCCCTGGAAACCTCAAGTATTTCCTACCATCTCTTTGACTATTTTACTTGAAGTGTGTTCCTTGTAATGCCACTTTTTATTTGATCAATAAATGTCATTCAACATCCATTTCCTAAGCAACTCTGTTGCCTGAAGCATGGGGCATAAGTCTGAGGGGAGGTCACATACGAGGGGCTGTGAAGAAGTTGAACTTCATCTAAAAGACTAAGAGGTGGTATTGATATCAGAATGCTCAGGGATGAGAGCTTAACTTCACAAAGTGCCATTCTGTTGGCCTAGCAACTGCTAGACCAGAGCTACCTCATTAGTTCACACATTCTGAACTAAGGAAGATGCATCTACCAAGTCCATGGCCATGATGTTGGCCCTACTGGGAGTGGAGGAGTACAAGATGAAAACAGGCACCCTCGCTCTGGAGTTTACACACAAATGAAGCACAGATAAGTGGAAATGTTATGTGGAAGTTCATCACTAAATTCTAGTTGTGATCCTTTGGAATCCCTGAGAGTGGGAGGAAGAGATTAGGGAGGGCCTTCGAGAAGTAGGAGTTTGAAGGGCAGGCAGAACAGTACATGCAAAGGCACCAAGCTGTGAAAAGGCCTGATCTGTTTAGGCAGCCATCTCTGGGGCCTGAAATAAGATGGGAGTGGGAGTTATAGGCAGAGGACATGTGAATGAAGAGCCTGATGGTGAAGGGTGTGGGACAAGGGCTGGCATCCAGGCTTTTGATGGGGGCCCTCAGCCTCTCTCCCATTTCTGTCACCCACAGATCTGGTGTATCCTCCTCCCCATAATGAGAATAGTTCTGCTCCAATCAGCCAGAATGAACCTCATGGACATCACCAAGATCTTCTCCCTCCTGCAGCCTGACAAAGATGAGGAGGATACTGACACAGGGGAGAAGCAGGCTCTCAATCAAGCAGTGTACAACAACGACTCCTATGCCTTGGACCAGCTTTTGAGCCAGGAGCGTTACAAACGTTTCATCAACAGTAGGAGTGGCTGGGGCGTTCCTGGGACACCCTTGCGCTTGGCTGCTTCTTATGGCCACCTTAGTTGTTTGCAGGTCCTCCTGGCACATGGCGCTGACGTTGACAGCTTAGATGTCAAGGCCCAGACACCACTTTTTACCGCCGTCAGCCATGGCCATCTGGATTGCGTGCGTGTGCTTTTGGAAGCTGGTGCCTGTCCGGGTGGTAGCGTCTACAACAACTGCTCTCCCGTGCTCACAGCTGCACGTGATGGTGCTGTTGCCATCTTGCAGGAGCTCCTAGGCCACGGTGCAGATGCCAATGTCAAAGCTAAACTACCAGTCTGGGCATCAAACATAGCTTCATGTTCTGGCCCCCTCTATTTGGCTGCAGTCTATGGGCACCTTGACTGTTTCCGCCTGCTTTTGCTCCATGGGGCGGACCCCAACTACAACTGCACTGACCAGCGCCTATTAGCTCATGTCCCACGGCCTCGCACCCTCCTTGAAATTTGCCTCCACCATAATTGTGATCCAGAGTACATCCAGCTGTTAATTGATTTTGGTGCTAACATCTACCTTCCATCTATCCCCCTGGACCTGAACTCACAAGATGATAAAGGCACTGCGTTGCTGCTACAGGCCCGAGGTGAGTGTCAAGCAGGTCAATCCTATAAGCTTTCTTGGTGTGGCAGTTCCAGGACCCCAAACCAACCCCAAGCCAATCCTTCTGGGATGAAATGGAGAAAACACCATCTTCTTCCTTCTTCTGGGGCCCCAGTGGAGAAGAGGTTACATACTCCTTAATAGGGGCAGGATCACTAAGATGAGGTGGGGGGATAGCACTAGCCTAATATCTTGTTCTGGCTCTGCCAGTGACTGCTTTGTGACCTTGAACATGCTCTCTCTAGGGCTCAGTGTGTTCCCACTGGTACCATGTATTGAGGGGAGGGTGGGGGACATTTATTAGAAGGGAGAGAACATTTAGGGCTGCAGTAGCCAGGGCCGGGAGAAAGCAGCCTTGGATGGGAAAATTACCCTGAGAATTGCTTCTCATGACCTGTTTCTCCTTGCTGTAGCCACTCCACGGTCACTACTGTCACAGGCCCGTTTAGTTATCTGCAGAGCCCTGCGCCAGACCAGCCGGCCACAAGCCATCGACAAGCTGGATATTCCCCCTGTGTTGATTAGCTACCTTAAACACCAATTGTAAACTTTCAGTCTACCCAAACCCACAATGCTTCCAAAAACCACCTGGGGATCCAGGTAGCTGGAGGGCACCATAGAGATCTACCCACTCACTTGGAGCTGCTTTCCTGTATTATCCTCCACAATAAAATCAACAAAATCAGTCCTGGTGGCTGCTGTGTCTGGTGTGTGTGTGCGGGGGGCTAACTGGAGGGAGGGGTCTGGTTGGCCATGAGGAAAACTAATGGTCTGGTATTTGACAGGTACAGGAGTCCTTGCCACTGAAAGAGAAAAACAGCAAACTAACCCAATGGCCCACACTCCCCAGCCAAAATCCTTGAGAGAATTTGGAGCTGTGATGTTCTAGAAGCAAGGTCCTGAAGAATTCAAGTGGGTGGAGGGGTAGCATCAGCTTGCTCAGCCCTTTTACCTCCCTCCATTTCTTTGGCAGCTGAAATGCACCTTTTCAGGGGCTGTCACCAAATCCCCTATTATTTTGAGTCAAGTGACCAAGGAGTCTCCCATTCATTCACCTTGAATCATAAGCTGCATTCCCACTAGTCCAGTTTGTAATCAAGATCAAACTGGGAAAACAAACTACCAAATATGACAGAATTTAATGCAGAAAAGAAACTGCTTACATAGGTGATAGGCAGAGAATCCAAGCAGGACAGGAAGGCAACCAAGAGATTAGTGGCATCAGGAGGCCAAGACCACCCCTAGGCTGAAGGAGTGAGGGAGATGTACAGAGTCCAGGGAGAGGGGTCATCTGATGGAAAGTGGAATCACAAGCCTGTCCATGGATGCTAGAATCGTAGAAGATAGACGCTGCCCAAACCATAAGAAAGGAAGAAACACCCTCTCCTTTCCCTCATTCTTGCCCTTCAGTCTGCCTCCAATGTCTCTCTCATTGGAGGAAACTGGAAGTCAACTAATACGAGAGCCTGAGAAATACAACCTACAAGGGTCAGGCCCCTTGTAATATAAGGCAGAACAGGGGAAGGTGAGGAATAGAGGAACAGTAGGAGGAGATGATGTGACCTGAGTCTAGAGCTGGGATCACACAGCACAGCCAGAAGTATATTGACAGCAGGAGCCATAGAATATACACAGCAGAGATACCACCAGAAGCACAAAAGGTGGAGGCTAAATACCCTGGCTTCTCCATTTTTCCTACCCTCCCACCAGTGCCTCCCATTGGTTGAACACAGCCAGAAGATGATTGATGGGATATCCCAGGAAATACAGTGGTCAGTCTCCTATAATGTGCAGAAGAGCAGGAGAAGCAGGAAAGCAGGACCAGCACAGATAACCACCCACATTCAGATCCAGGCACCCTCATTTTGCTAAACCTTTATCCTTCCATGGTACCTTCTTGCATTTCTCCTGCACAACACCTCAGTGGGGATGTGGATAGCAATGAACAAGATACAAGATGAAGGGCTGGGGTAGGAGAACCCAGATAATTTGTACCTGGGAAGCACTATAGATGTTTAAAGATCTTCCTGGGACCTGCCTTCACAACCCCCCTACATCATGATCTCCTATCATAGGGAAAGGCAGGCAGGGAACAGGGTCTTGTACTGACTTCTCTCTCTCACCTATTACTTCTCCAACTCTCCCTAGCTCCTAGTGCCTGAGAGACTATAGGAAGTAAGGCAAGATAACTGGTAATCTATCTCTGTGGTCCTGACTTCCAGACTTTCATTCTTAGGCATTTTGGAGAGTAGTGCAGACTGTTTATCTTCAAGGAGCAAGAGAGCTGAAGGACTGGGCTGTAAACATAGACAGACGGCCTCAGGGCAGGCAGCCCCAGCTCCCTTCTTAGGAGTGAGTTCCCGTGGCTCTGTTTCCCATCCCCTAAGTCAGGGCCCTTGGGCCTTAGGAGTCAACCTCAGCAACTCCATCTGCTATAGGCCCCCAGGAAAGTGCACCCTTCAAATGGAGGCTGGCCAGGGTGGTCTCCTCTGTGGCATCTGGGACACAGACTCTCTGGTTGACCCATGAAAGCATGTGGCTACAGTGGGAATTTCAAAGGACTTGCACATGAGGAGGCTGTAGGAGCATACCAAATTCTAGGCCCGGAGAAATGGCTGAAACTCTTAGCTCCATTTCCCAGATGAGCAGGCTGAGACCCCGACAAAGTTAAGTGTCCATGTTATTGGCTGTTATATTTTCAGTTGCCTGTGCTGCTGGTGGGCAGAGACAACTTCAAGGTCTGTGCCTTAGTCCCTTCTGCTCCCCAGGCCTAACCATTCCCATCCAGACAATAGGCCAGGGGTTGGAATAGATCATCTCAAATTCTGATGATGAATCTTCTGAGGCAACCTTCCTTAGGAGGTGTGAGGAGGAGGAAGAGGTGATGTCGTTCCTAGAATGGAATCTCTCCCTTGGCCTTTTAGTCTCTTGTTGGCATTGGTCCCAGATGATAACCTAGTCTCCTCTGCCCCCTACTCCCCACTACAGCCACCAGCTTCCAAGAAAGCCAAATCTTAACCCTTTCAATTGACTTAGGCCCCTTCCCTCCTTCTTCCTCTCCCTCTTTCCCTATCTCCTCCTGACCTCCCTTTCTTGCCTTGCTTCTTCCCTCCCTCCTTCCTGCCCTACTTCCCTCTCTTACTTTATGGCACTGCCGTAAGCCTGGGGCTGCCTCTGCTCTTCCCATGCCACTGATTAGTCTGCATTCTCTCCTGCAATAGAAAAATTATTTTCCTTTATTCAGAAAGGTGGCCCCCAAAGACTAGATCCAACATGCAAAATGGCCTGTTGGAACTAAGAAACCAAAGAGATCCCCTTCAGCTGCTATCTTGAGGAAAAGTCTGATGGAAGAGGTGGCATTTGATCTTGGCCTTGACTTGGGGTAAGGGTTTTAATCAGTACAGAGGAAATAAAAGTTATGACTGGAAGGATACTCAGTGAGCAAAGACAGAAGTGAGAAAAAAGCAGGGCAGTTTGGATAACCAGTTAAGTTTGGTTCAAGTTCAATGTATTTGAACAAGAACTAGGCTGGGGAGTAGACAGGAGAGGACCCTGAATACCCTGTTCTTTTAGATGTGAAGATTTCAGTTCCTAGAACAGGGCATGCACAGTCATAGGATTCACTTGCTGAAAGTACTGAGAACATGTTCTCTAATTTCCCAGGGCAAATCTGGCAGCATTACATTTTTTAAATTGAGATATAATTGACATATAACATTATATTTGTTACAGGTGTACAACATAATGATTTAATATTTGCACATATTGTTAAATGATCACCACAATAAACCTAGTTAATATCTGTCACCATACATAGTTACAAAATTTTTTTCTTGTTTTTTTTTTTTTTAAAGATTTTTATTGGGAAATTGGGGGGATGGGAACAGTGCTGGGGAATTGGGGAAAGGGGAACAGACAAGTTGCTGTCGTTTTGTTCTTCAGTCTAGTTGTGGAGGACGTTGCTTCACTGGCCCAAGTTGGCACCATCATTGCGCTCTTCCCGGGAAAGGCAGATCAGTCGCCGGCTTCTGGACGGCCGCTCACTGCGGCTGCTGGCCGCTCACGCTGGCTGCTGGCCGCTCACGCTGGCTGCTGGCCACACACGGTAGCCCATGGCAATCCACTGCCACAGGGACTGCAGCCCACGCCGTCGCCGGCGACTCATGGCAGCCCAGCTCCAGGTTGAGCTGTTGTTCAGCATCTTAGCTGTGGAGGGCAGTGTCACTGGCCCTCATATGTGGGATCCGAACCGGGGCCCTCTGGCATCCCAAGCGAGTTCTTAACCATCGCGCCACTCGGCCGGCCCAAAATTTTTTTCTTGTGATGAGAACTTTTAAGATTTACACTCTTAGCAACTTTCAAATATGCAATACAGTATTATTAACTATAGTCGCCATGCTGTAAATTATATCCCCATAACTTACTTATTTTGTAACTGGAAGTTTGTACCTTTTGACCCTCCAGCCCCCCAACCCCACCTCTGACAACAACCCCAACCCCACCTCTGGCAACCACCAATCTGTTCTCTGTATCTATAAGGTCATTAAAAAATGTAGATTGCACATAAAAGTGAGGTTATACATTATTTGTCTTCTCTATCTGATTTATTTCACTTAGCATAATGCCCTCAAGGTCCATCCTTATTGTTGAAAATGGCAAGATTTCATTTTTTATGAGTGAATAATATTTCATTGTATATATACATCACATTTTCGTTATCTATTCATCCACGGATGGACACTTAGGTTGCTTCCATATCTTAGTTATTATAAATAATGCTGCAATGAACATGGATACATATATCTTTTTGAGTTAGTGTTTTCATTTTCTTCAGATAAACACCCAGAAGTGGAATTGCTGGATCATAAGGTAGTTCTATTTTTAATTTTTTGAGGAACCTACATACTGTTTTCTATAGTGGCTGCACCAGTTTTCATTCCCACCAACAATGCTCAAGCGTATCCTATTCTCCACATCCTCATCAGTACTTGTTATTTCTTGTCTTTTTTGATAATAGCCATTTTTACAGGTGTGAAGTGATATCTCATTGTGGTTTTGACTTACATTTCCCTGACGATTATTGATACTGAACACCTTTTCACGTACCTGTTGGCCATCTCTATATTTTATTTGAAAAAAAAGTCTCTCCAGATCCTCTGCCCATTTTTTAATCAGATTTTTTTTGCTATTGAGTTGTATGAATTCTTTATATATTTTAAATATTAACTCCTTTATCATATGTATATGATTTGCAAATATTTTCTCCCATTTTGTAGGTTGCCTTTTCATATTGCTGGTTTCCCTTGCTGTGCACAAGCTTTTTAGTTTCATGTAGTCCCATTTGGGGTTTTTTTAAAATATTTTTTTTATTTTTCAATTACAGTTGGCATACAATATTATATTAGTTTCAGGTGTACAACAATAGTGATTAGACATTTTATATAACTCACAAAGTGATCACCCTGATAAATCTAGTATCCATCTAAAACCATACATAATTACTACAATATTATCAACTATATTTCTTAGGTTATACTCTATATCCCCATGACTATTTTGTATTTACCAATTTGTACTTCTTAATCCCTTTCCCTTTCTCACCCATTCCCCCAACACCCCTCCTATCTCACAACAATGAAAATGTTCTTTGTATCTATGAGTTTCTGTTTTGTTTGTATATTTTGT